GCCGCTGATCATGTCGCACCAGTGGATGGCGGCCCACCTGCCCACCAAGGCCGACTTCCACACCATGCCCCTCGCCCTTCGCCAGTGCAGCACATTCGGCCACCTCCTCAACTACAAGGGGACCAGTCTGGCGCTCACAAAGGTGGATGAGGCCGACGATGGCGATGAGGGCAAGAAGGAGGCCGAGAGGGGGGATGGAGAGGATGGAGAGGACGGCGAGGGAGAGCGGGACGGCGGGGTGACACGGCAGCGGTATCGCATCGGGAGTGGCGAGGACGGCGAGGAAGAGTGGGAGTTCGAGACCGTGCCCAAGTCCGGCCTCCCTCCCCAGCATCCCTACCGCCACACATACGACCCCCACAACCCGCCAATTCGCCGCCAGGACTACCTCTTCCCTTCGTTCACGGCCCTCATGAAGTGGATGGTGTTGTTCGAGTGGTTTGGCCAAGAGGGGGTGGGAGAGAAGGAGGTATTCGAGGCGACAGTGGACGAGGGCGATGAGCGGTATCGGTCGCTGCTGACCGGTCCCATCGACGGCCACAAGACCGTCGACTACATCAGGAATGAGCGGCGGCGATTGATCATGTTCAAGGGCATGAAGGAATGTGACGCCATTTCTGCCTACCTGTGGGTGTGCGCCGGCAGCATCAACCTCTTTACGACCGAGGCGGAGCTCGAGGGCCACACGCGGCTGTCTGACCAGTTCCCCACCGCGATGTCATTGACCCGCACCCTGTTGACGAGACACTGCCTCGCCAACATCATACCACAGTAGAGGAGAGGAGACACACACAAGTGAGCCACAGTGGGGAAGAGACACTCATATAGGCACAAGATGCCTGCCTCGAGTGCCCGGATGACATTGGTGCGTCTGTGTGTGTGTGCAGGTGAGCTGTTGGGTAGACTGGTGGTGCTGGCAGTGATAAACTCAGCAGCGATCGAGTGTGCAGGCTGATTAGCTTGGCTGCGTTGGTGGGGAGGACTCACCTCACCTGCAGCGACATGTGAGTAGATGAGATGGAGGGACTGGGTTCACTGACTGCACTGCATGACAGATACACATGCTCACACGTGTGAATGCACCAAGTTGTGGAAGATGAATTCAATCGCACGCAACAATCTAGTCAAGCCATACATATATGTCCCCTGTCATTCGTCACCGCGTTCCCCTCTTCCCTTTCACGCACCACCTTCTGAGCATCCACACCGCCAACCACCCCAACACAACAACACCATGCACAGCCGACAAGCACAGCGGCACCAGCACCCACTCGCGATGACCGTCGGCAACCGACCCCTCCCCCTCCCCCTCTCCCCCTCCGACACTCATCAACACGTGCACCCAGCCACGAATCGCCTTCTCTGCAAGTGACAATATCGAGATTGGGTGTTGCCAGAGGGGCAGCAGAGAGGCGATGAGCGACGGGCAGCCATCCATGTGAGCGCCAGCGTTGAAGGGGTGGGGCAGTGGGTGTGAGGGGTGGAAGTGAATGAGCACCTCGTTGGCGAGGGCGAAGACTAGGAAGGGGAGCGAGCCCCCGAGTGCATCCAGGAGAGACACCACAAAGGCGAAAGAGACACCGAAGGGCGAGCTCGAGGCAGAGGACGACACACGAGAGGCTGTCTGCCCTTCGTACTGCTGCTCCACACCAATGTGCTCGACCTCTGCCTGTGTCTTTGCCTCTTCTCCCTGGTGGTGGCTCTCTGCGGCCTCTTCTATCACAGGTGCGTCCTGCTTGTCTTTCTGCTGCTTCTTGTCTTTAGTCGGCGATGGGCCGAGCGGTGGCGGCAGACGCTTGAAGAACCCCATCTTGACGCCTCGCTTGGTCCTCCGCGCACCGCTCTTGCTGCTCGACGTGCGGTGATGGCGGGGAGGCAGCAAGTACACCAAAGGCGGCAAAGGCGGCGACTTGGGGGCCGTGCTGCTGCTGCTCTGTTCCTTCTTCTCCTCCTTCCTTGGCTCGTCTCCTCCGTCTCTCAGCAGGTCCTCAGCTCCCATCGGCACGATCATGTCCTCATTGGAGCGGTCGGTCGACCAGCCAAAAGACGAGGGAGACACGGGCATGGCGCACCTGGGAGAAGACGTGTCCACGGCGCCGTCGAGCAGCTGTGAGAGCGAGGGTGGGATGACCGAGTGAGTGTCGTGCTGGATGTCTAAGGGGCACCAGGCCGAGTCTGAGCCCATGTTTGAGTCCAAGAAATGACAGTTCTTGTGGAACTCCCGGCGCCAGATGACAAAGGCGTCCTGATGTGGCCAAGAAGATATGCTGATGTGCTGACAGATGTGTGTCTCTCCTTGGTTACCTCGCGCAGGTCGTCCGACTGTTCTATCATCCACTCAAGCGCACTGCAGAGGGGAAAGGCGCTCGCACTGTCCGGTTCGCCTTTGTTCTTTCCCTTGAGCGATTCGCGGTACACCGCCTGCTTGTGTTTGAGGCTCGAGAGAAACCATTCGAAAATCCGCTCCTCCCTCTTCTTCTTGTCGTCCAGCCGCTGCAGCATCGGCAGCCGCTTGGCCGCCACTGGCAAAACAGGGCCCTCATCCAGGTCTGACTCCTCGGTGCGCTTCCTCATTTCCCTCTCACGTGACTGCAGCTGCGACCCCCGGTGCTGCCACAAGACGTAGCGGAACACGAGCCACGGCTTGCGGCCATTCCCGTCTGCCCCGTGTTTGGCTCGCTTGTCGTTCTGCTGCCCATTGCCGCCCCAAAGCGCCATCAGGCGGGAGAGCAGTCTCTGCGACGCTGGCTGTCCTGCCGGTGGGTTGCTGGGCGAGACGGGAGGCAGAAAGGAGAATCGTGTGCGGAGTGAGGATGCCCACGACGAAGGAGAGGCGTTGCCGAGCGGGTATGCATTGACGTGTGGGGTGGGGCTCAGCATTGGGGGGCGAGGGGGGCTGGTCGGGAAGACCCTTCGCGAGATGGGGCTGCTGTCGGGGCAATCGATGTTCAGATCGTCCTCCTCTTTGATGGGGGTCACCTCCTTGTCTTGCAGAGGGGCCGGGGGGAGGATGAGGGAGTCGGCCGTGGACATAGTGACGCAACCGATGGCGGCGGGACGGTTCACCGAGGGCAAGGATGGCGGAAGCTTCAGAGACACATGAGCTCCGTCCACATCAACGCTCTGCTGGTGGTCTTCTGTGTCGTTTTGACGAGCGGAAATGTCTGCCTTTTCATCGCCTGCCGCGCCGAAGAGGAGACGGAGGTATGTGTTCGCCGCGCAGGGGATGACAGCATTCAGCTTCGTCCCAAATACGCCGAAAATGGTCGTGAGGATCATTAGCAGATAAGTGGTGGGGACCACAATGACAACCAGAGGGCATGCGAGAACCCGAAGGATGCAGGATGTGCTCGACTGCTGGAGGCGGTGAGGATCCTCGGCCTCTCGGTCTGTGTCGTGTGAGATGACCACAATCTCTGTCAGGGGTGCGTCTTGCTTCACGCAGCGACCGCATAGGGAGCACTGAAGAGACACGCAAAGTGAGTGAGCGACTTGATCGTCGCAGCGAGGTACCACTTACGAGTGAGCTGGTGACTCGCGCGCCAAGGTTGCACCAGGCCGAAAGAGACGCGACAAAGAAGATGAGCAAAGGGACGCCAAGAGTCCCAGTCACTCCCACCCTGGCAAGGCCCGCCACCCAGCACTGATTCATCCCCACGTACGAGATCCGGCCACCGATCTCCGCCCAGAGAAACGCCAAACGCGCCACCACAGCCAGCAAGCCCAGAACTCCTCCGCAGAGACACGACCACCCTCCCAGTGGAGGGGGCCTCTCCTTCCTCTCCTTCTTCATATCGATGCGCACATCGCCTTCTCGTACGGGCAAGACCAGAGGCGGCACGAATGGCGGCCTCGTGGACAATTGAGAGGTGGGCATAGATCGGCGGTCCTCGGTGCGAGCGGTGAATGAGGCCGGCCGGTTCTGGTGGGCTTGTGTCTCTGGCATGGTGCAGGGGGGAGGGGGCAAGGCGACGGCAGGAGAAGGGGCTGCAGGTGCCTCTGGGGCTGCCTGCGTGAGTGCCGCCTTCTTCTTGCGCCGGCCAAAATCTGTCAGTGGGGGGAGACACAGGCCCACCTGATCAATGTGCTCTCGTGAGCTGCTTCGTCGGTGTCTCTCACCTTCGACGATGGATGCGACAAAGAAGTGTCGGCAGATGAGGGCCAAATCGGCAGGTGTGAGGGATCTCTGCAGTGCGGCCGACACAATAACACAAACAAATGCTGAAACGCCGTGTGCGAGCACATAGCACATGTCTCGTGCTTACGAAGTCCTGTGCGGTGGGGTCTGCGCCCTTCTGCATGAGAGTCAGGCAGGTACCAGCATGGCCGCCACGGGCCGCCCAGTGCAGCGGCCGCATACCGCACGCGTCCACACTGTTTGGATCGCACCCTCTCTCCAGCAACATCACCACAATGGCATCGCAGCCAGCGTCCGCCGCAAAGTGAAGCGGAGACAACAGACCCTGCACACAGTCAACAGCGGACAGATGACACAAATGATTTACGGAGGGCGAGAAGCTTCAGCTGCACAGACGTACCCATCCCGGCCACTCTGGTTGGGCCTCTTCCAGCAGTATCTCGACAGATGAAACGCACCCGTTGCCGCACGCCTGTATATGTCACACAGAGGAGTGAGACGCTCAAAGAAATGTATGTGGAGGAGTCTCGGGCTGTCTCACCAGATGAAGGGCCGTGTTTCCGTGGGAGTCCACGGCGCTGACGTCAGCCCCGTGCTCAAGCAATGCGCGAAGGCATGATACCGAACGAGTCGGACAGAAACCCGTGCTGCAGGGAACACAACAGGGACCCAGCAAGGAGTGCTCGGCCCACACGAGAAAGTCGTATAGGTTATTTTACGCTGCGGCCATGAGAGGCGTACAGCCATAGCGATCAATCGCATCCACAGACGCCCCAGCCTGAAGAGGGCCGGACAGGCAGAGCGAGAAGCCATTGCAAAGTGCATGAAATGTCGCCGGGCCCTCTTACTTGGAGCAGCATAAGGACGATATCGGCATGGCCGTTGGCGGCTGCCAAGTGCAGAGCCGCCCGATTGAGCCGACGAGAGGAAAAGAAATTGGGGTTGACATCATCATCCAGCAGCTCAGTGATCCGTTGACTGTCACCCAATTCCGCCGAGCGGCACAACACTTCTGTGACCGACATCGCAACGATCAGAACAACGAGTACAAGGCTCTCGTCTCGCACTCCGTCTTCCAGTCTCAGCCCCCATGCGAGCTTTCCAGCTGGCTCCCCTCCCCTCTCCCCCCCTCCTTTTTCCTCCGCGTGGAGCTCATCGTCGCCCGCGAATTAAAGAAAGAAAGTGAGCTCGACACTGTCGCTTGTCTGTCGATTGATTCATGTATTGCATGGCTCCCTGTCGCAGATCTCCTGTTCCGTGTGACACACCGGCGACTGCATCGCCATACACTCCATAACTGACTGACTGACTCATACATACAAGGTAAGTGAAAGACCAACGCACTTGCATTAAGTTCAAAGCGGCTTCGCCTCTCCTTTTGCAGCTGTCACATCGTGCGTGCCGCAGTGGCAGCAGGAGGGAGGGCCGTTGGTTGACCCATCACCAGCACACGTAAGAAAGGCAAGCTGAGTCCACGCACGCTATATACCGTCTGCATGTGGCTGTGTGGCTGTCCATGCCCATGCATTCAGATCACTCACTCATGGCCTCCGACCTGTCCCCTCTCTGTGGGCCCTCTCACTCAAGAAGGCGTCACACATGCTCGATGACCGCACCAAGCGGCCGGCACTCAACACACAGATCAACAAGCAGCCGCCCACCCAGATCCCCAAAGGGATCACATTGCCGGCCGTCCTCGAGCAGCGCATCGAGCAGGCCATGGACAGGGAACGCCTTCGTGACGTGCTGGCCTTCGACATTGGTGACGTGGCTGGGGCCATCAAGATACTCCACGTGCTGGAGCGATGCAGCGGCCACTGGAAGGTGATGAAATGGGTCATCCGCCTGGCTTTAATCTACCAGCTCACCCCCAATGCGACGCGGCCTCTTATGCTGTCGGCTGGTTCGCTGCCCGCCACGACGGTATTCGACGAGCTGCCCCTCATCATGGCCGCCTACAAGACATTCGGGCACTACCTCAGCTACAGGGGGAGGAATCTGGCGCTGCAGCAAGCCAACAATGGGCACTATCGGATCGGCGCCCAGTCGTTTCGTGTGGTGCCGTTGGGTGAGCTGCCGGCCGACCACCCCTACCGCAGCAGATACAAGGAGAGCGATCCCGTCATCCGACATGGCTTGGATCTCTCCCCCTCCCTGTCGTCGTTCCTGCTGCACACGCTGCTCGAGTCACGGCCATGGGCTCCAGTCCGGGTGCTTCTCTCTCTCATCATCCTCCGTGATTCCCAGGACCGCTATCAGAGGCTTATGGCAGCTGGCGATGTCCCCGAGCAGCAGGGCATCGCTGTGGACTACCGCTTTGACGTCGGCGGTCGGAATTATACCGACCCAAAAGACTATCGTCGTGTGTTTGTGAGCGGCTTCCGGCCCGGTGAGACCGTCGCTGCCCATCTGTTTGTGGGTGAGCACCGGATCGAGCTGTGGACGACCGAGCCACCCGTTGCTGGCCCAGCCCCATCGCTCAACAAGGTGCTCGATGTGCGTTTCCCCGTGTCAACGCCCCTCTGGCGCAGTGTGCTGAAGCGCTTCAACCTGGAGGGTGTCGTCATCAACTGGGGCATCGTGCTGGTGTGAGTGACCGACACACGTGTGTTTGCCAGTGGGCAGTCTAGACTGCCTGACACCCAGAGATGTGAAGGGACTGGTCTGATCGTTATGGACGTGTGTGGTGTGTGCGGTGTCCATGTATGTCGGTCGGTATCACAAGGAGACCGCTGTTTGTTTATCAAGACATACATCCGTGTGTCTGTCGTCCTCTCGACCAACGAATGAACGAATGAATGAGTGAATGAAGGCACTGCATCACAATCAGGTAGATCTCGCGCACCTCACCCGCATCACTCACACAAATGAGCCGAGCCAGCCTCGCAGAGAGGAGGGGGCGGTCGGTCGGTCGGTCGGTCGAACACATCATAACACTGATAAAAGGGGCTGGCTGGCTGGCTGCGGAGCGTTCCACCTCACCTTCACACACACACCGTGTCTGTCTTCTCAAGGCTGGCTGGCTGGCTGACAGGCAGAGAGGCAATATGGATGTCGTGGGCTATGTTGCTGGCTGGGCTGGGCTGGGCTGGCGGGGGGTGTGACATATATGGGCACACGCACAGACAGACAGACAGACACACAAACATCACACGCACATCCATGCGCACCGCACACACGCTTGAAATGCCCCACACACATACACATGCGCACAGGCAGACAGGCAGACAGGCAGGGGAGGAACAACCACAACATAAAAACATGCGACACAGCAGCACACGACACGAGAGGTGGCAGGTGGCAATGCAAGGCGCCACATGCAGACACACACACACACACTGCAGGGCGAGACAAGCACTGGCCGGCCGTATCAGGTAGTGATGAGTGTACGCATCCATGTATGTATCCCCGTTGAGTTGAAAGTAACACACACACACACACACACACTCTTCGATCGACCATACCAGCCAGCGGCCGTTTCAAATGCCACCATCACCACCACCACCCCCACTTCACGTAAATCGCAATGAGATACATACACACATCCATGGAGTGCGATGGAATGGAATGGAATGCGATAAAGTGCGATCGGAGGATTTGGTGGGAGGGTACATGACGGACAGCAACGAGCAGCCAGCCATGTATCTCATGTGGGTGGGTGGGCGTGCAGGCCACCGGCAGAAGTGCGCAAGACAGTCAGATCAGAGGCAACAGCGACCCCGCTCACTCTCCGTCAGTGAGTACCGGATTATGCTGCCACCGTGGAGATGAGGCCACTTCTGCAAAGAAAATGACGCCTTGATGTCCTGCCTGCGCAGACACATCCATATGGACACTGGGGTGACTGACGACAAACGTCGTTCGCGAAGTGAGGTTCCACGTGGCCGAGCACGGGTTCAACAAGGCCAACCAAGGTGCATGCCAGCAGCGTCCCACCTTGGCCTTGTCGAAGCCATGCTCGGCCACGCTGAATGTCACCCACCGATTTGCCTTCCCCCCACCACATGAGCACACACGCACACAAACGACACAGGCGAGAGAAAAAGACAGCAGTTGGCGAGTGACAAAAAGAGGCGTGGAAAAAGAGGACCGGCCCGTCTGGCTTGATGCCTTCAAATTACGGCATAGGAGATGGGCCAGGCCAGGCCAGGTAGGCAGGCAGGCAGGCACCCACTGCAACTGCAACTTCCGCGGCTCCCTCACACGCCCGCACCACACACACAGCGAGAGGCCGATCGACACTGACGACACAGACATGCTCACCCGTGCGGATGAGGGAAAGAACGAATGGAGCGATAGCGACCACACACACGCACACGCACAGGATGAAAACAACACACATACACACACGCACACACACACACACACGTACACACACGTACATGTCCATGTCCACGCACTGTGTCAAATAAAGCGCACCAACGCGACCCACCCATGCAGATCAGATCGTGGGAAGCGGGCGCCGTATGAAAGGGTACAGACCCAGTAGGAAAGGGGATACACACCACACCACAACCAGTCAGAGAGAGTCAGGAGATGTCTGTTGGTTAGGGTGTCTTCACGATCCCTACCCTCATGTCTGTCCCATCCCGTCACATCCCGACACACACACACACACACACACACACAGAGAGAGAGAGAGAGAGAGAGACCCCAATGAACTGTCTTGCCCTGCCAATGCCTGTCTTGCCCTTGGTGGCGGCTGCAGCAGCAGGTCAGCAGAGAGCTGGACGGCTACTTGCGTCGACGGCTCGACGCACGTCAGTCGTTCCACTCCCTCTTGACCTGCTGCTGCTGCTGCACAGCCACAGCCGCCAAAAGTACTGGTAGGTATCAATAACGCCCGGCTGCGCCATGCACACACACACACACAAAACACTGTCAGAGTGGTCGGCCCCTGCCATCTGGCCGGCCGGGCCACATATGTGTGTATGTGTGTGTGTGTGTGTGTGAGAGTGTGTGTCCGATGATCGCTTGTTGACTCAGAAATGGGTGGAGAGAATATTCGAGAGTGCGATGCATCCGTCCCTCCCTCCCTCCCTCCCTCCCTGGCAGACACAGATCTACGTAAGTATGCAACAGAAAAAGCCGTATTATCACACCAGATCACATCCCGTGGGCGTTGGTGGCATCGCATCGTACTCCACACACAGGACAAAACCAGCCGATGCCAGCATGATCGTTCTCTGACCTGCTCGACCTCTCGCTGCGCTACGCTTACACTTCTGCCTCTCGCTCTCTCTCGCCACTTGCCGCCCTTCCATCCACCGGGCGACATACTCAGACCCCCAACACCTAAATCCCTCCCTCCCCCTTACTCCCCAGCCCATCTGCTGTCTATATCATATGGACGACATCCGCCTGTGCGTGCGTCGCCCTTCCTCCACACAAGAGGCGGCGTCACTGTCGACACGCTCCAAGCTTAAAGGCGTCCCGGCAGCGGTCGAGGGCGTCAGCCCACCACCGCCCGCAGAGCCACCGTCCTTGCCTTGGTGCAGGAGGGGCAGCTCGTGGCCCTTCTGCCACAGGAAGCGGGGCGACGGCGGGAGGTAGCCACGAGATGGGCAGGGGTGGTCGGTGTGGTTGAGGGGGTCGGTCTGGTCGCTCTCTGACCGGACCATCCCCACCCCTGGCGAATCATCGCCACCAGCAGCTTCTTTCTCCCTCGTGTGATTGTGTTCCTCTCCATTGAGCTGCTCGTAAGGCGTTTCGCCGAGGCCCGGCACCGGCAATGGGTCACTGCTGCTGCCACTGGGCCCACTGTGGGTGTGGGTGGCATCCACGTTGCTGCTGCTGCCGCTGCTGACCGGGGCTGCATGTGAGACGACCGGTGCGTCGCCGTGTTGGTTCTTGCGGAAGACAAGAAGGCATGCGAGGAATGTGGCGACGAGCATGAGGCATGACATGAGGGCGAAGCCGACGGAGGGGAAGTTGAATGGCGGGGGGAAGAGGGGCCAGTTGGACAGGCAGAGGGCGATCAACAGGGGGCCCACCGCGTTGACCATCGCACGGATGCCCACGAAGCCGCCGATAATCTGAATGCAATGCGCACAGACAGACAGACAGACAGGCAGACACACAGACAGGTGAACGGCAATCATCATCTTTCCCTCTCTCTGCGTGTTGTTGAGGGGGGAGGGGAGGGGGGGTGTGGCGCACCGAGCCCTGGTTTCTCTCCTCTGATGTCGTGAGCGAGCCGTCCATTTGGCACTTAGCAATGATGGACATGATGAGCGGCATCGATATGTAGGACGCGCTGCCCAGCGCCATGCCCACGTAAAAGGCCAAAGGGGTGCTCGCCTGAACGAGAGAGAGACCAGTAAGTCGCACACCACACGCAGCCATGCCATCACACAATCTATCCATTGACTGACACGGACACACGGCCGACCGGCCGGGTGGGTGTGTGTAACGCACCTGTGTGAAGACGACCATCTGGGTGAAGACGGCGAAGACGCAGACAGCGAGGGCGCTGTAGGCCGACATGAAGGCTTGGAAGATGGGCAGGATCAACAGCTGCAAGCGACGACAGAGAAGAGAGAGGGTGACTGAATATGTGTGTGTGTATGGCGTGGTGTGGTGTGGTGTGTGACGGACTGCCTCACTCACTGACCTGTCCGACAGTGCCGGCGAGTCCGGAGAAGGTCAGCATGAACGACAACTGCGAATCCTGCACACGCAATGAACAAGGCCCTGGAACTCTGCGCTGCGTCTGTGTGTCTGTGTCTGTCTGTGTGTCTGCGTGTGGCGTACCGTGACGGCAAACTGTCTCTTCATGTAGGACAGCTGCACCTCCATCGTCGCTGCAACACACACGCATCCATCCATCCACTTTCACACGTGCCCTTCCCCCCTATGTGTGTGTGTCTGTCTGCGCACCTCCCTGCACGCCAAAGAGGATGACGGCGACGCCGAGCAGCAGGTGGTGCTTGTACGCCAGGTAGCGGAACGCACGGACACTCGTCTGCCACATCGACCTGCACACACACCACACCACACCGCTCCATGTGCCCGTCCATGGATGGAGTGATCGGTGTGTGCAGGGGTGCGGTTGTCACTTGATCAGTATCGTGACAGAGTTCATGTTCGCAAGGCTCTGCCCGCTGCGCATCCGGGGCAGGTGGGGAACCGGCACACCATCTGACACACACACACACACACACACACAGACAGACAGATGGACAGACGACTTCCTGTGCGGAAGGCCTTTGGTCCACCCGACTGACTGACCTGGCATCCTCTCCCTGTGTATCTTGGTTGGGAAGACGAAGGCAAAATAAAGGGGGCCCAGGCACTGACACACACACACACACACACACCCTCATGCACACTTTATGTGTGTGTGTACGTGTGTGTGGTGTCTGACCGAGAACACGGCAGCGCCCTGCATGAGCTGCATGGAGGTGACGATCCCGCGGCGCAGGAGCACACCGGCCAAGAGGGAAAAGGTCACGAAACACGCCGACAAAATGCCCGATTGCTGCACGCACGCACGGACCAGACGGACAGGTATGAGAGGCGACGCACGGATGGATGGATGGACAGGCAGCCACTGTGCTCTGTGTGTTGGTGTGCCGACTGACCACTCCGAGAATGGACATCTTCTCGCGCTCGGACGCCCAATCCTGTCACACACACGCACAGAGAGAGAGAGGCAAGCATGCAAGAGTGGATCGATGTTTCTTGCTTCCCGTACGGTGATCCAGGCCTGCAGGATTGGCTCCAGCCCTCCCGGCTCGCGCGCAGCGAACACACACATAAAGATCGACCCCATTATCCACCCATAGCCACTCTACATCCATCGTACAGAAGACTCAATGCATCTCAGCCGTCCGTCCGTCCGTCCGTCCACCCCTCTCCCTCTGTATTTCTCTCACCCCGGTGAGTGCCGTTGCGATGAGCGGCACTGTCTTGACGGCGCTGATGAAGACGAGCATCTTCTTGCGGCCGAACTTGGATGGCTGTGACATGTTGCCGACCACAGAGATGGCCAACGGGCCCACCAGGCCGCACATCAGGTCCACCGAAGCGTTGACCATGTAGACGTCGGGGCCGAACGTGTCGGTCGTGACGTCCACTATGCACCTGACACACACACACACACACGCACACACATATGCAGCGAATCCTCCCTCTCTCCCTCTGTGTGTGGTGTGGTATGGTGTGTTGTGGTGCGGTGTGTGTTGGTGCGTACGAGATGGCCATGAAGAGGGGGCAGAAGCAGCAGAGGAGGCCGATGACGCCATACCAGAAGGGCGTGAACAGCACGTTCCAGTAGCACTGAAAGCTCTCGCGCAGAGACATCCTCACCAACCACACCACACTACACCAGACACGGACAGGCGATGAGAGCCGAGGCGAGCAAAAGAGATAAAAAGAGCTGCTGTAGTGGGACGCCGGTCAGAGGGCTTCCATGGTACGGCGAATTAAAGCCACGCAAGGCGGACAGGCGCACACAGGCTGGCCCAAGGACTCACTGCAGTCAGTCAGTCCCTCCCTCTGATGAAAGGATGATGAAAGAGATGAAAGAGATCTGAGCTGGGTGTGTGCTCTCCGTCAGATCTCCTCCACCTCTTCTTCCACAGGAAAGGCAGCAAGAATCCTTTCACAACCTGCGAGCTAAGCGTGCACAGCTCAGGTGTCTCGCGCTGCATTGTGGGTCTTTCCGAGGCGCACAGACGGCCGGTGTGCGAGATCTGCCTGTAGCTCATCAGCCTGAGTGAGAGGAACACAGATGAGGGACATCCGCGTTTTGGCCTCCTCGCTGCGGCGCTCCCTGGCTGCTGCAGCGTCCCCTCACGCATCATCGCCACCGCTCCCCGCCGCTGCCCAAGCTGCCGCTGCAAACATCACCCTCTCCCTCAGACAAGCGCCGCCGCACACGCCGACACAGGGCAGCCCATCCCATCACCAGTCTAATGCAGCCAAAGCTGCTGCCGCTGTTATTGGCGGGTCTCTGCTGCTCGGCTATGGCGCCTTTTCGTCGTCGAAGCGGCCGCACTATGGCGTGGCGCATTGTGCTGAGAGTGCTGGTGGCAGTGGTGCAGCAGGAGGTGGCGCGAGCATCAGTGTGCCTGGCGGTGGTGTGGATGTGGACAAGTTCCTGAAGGAGGACGACCTCATTGCCGCGGACGTGTCGCTGCAGGACAGCGATGTCACCATTTACCAATTCGAGTCAGTCAGTCAGTCAGCCAACGGAGAGAGAGAGGGATCTGTCTGGGCATCTCCATGTCTGTCTGTCTGTGTGTGTGTGTGTGTGTTGACAGGAGCTGTCCGTTCTGCCGCAAAGTGCGCATCGCACTGGACTACCACAACATCCCCTACAACGTGAGAGCACTACCACACACCACCCTACCCTACACACCATCCAATCCATCGATTCATTCCCCCATATGTATCGCCACACACAGGTGGTGGAGGTGCATCCCTTGGCCAAGAAGGAGATCTCCTCCTGGAGCCCCGACTACAAGAAGGTGCCCATCCTCGTCATCCGCCCCAACACACCCCCGTCAGCCAGCTCACCCGTCCCGCCCTCCTCGCCCGACGACCCCTCTGCCATCGTCCTGAAGGACAGCAAGCGCATCGTGCACAACCTGGTCGCACACGAGGCCAGGCGGCGCGAGAGCAAGGGGGGGCTCAGGGGTGGTGGTGGTGGTGGCAGTGGGAAGGCAGGCCAGAAGGAGAGCGAGGCTGCCAAGGAAGAGGAGAAGAAGTGGATCAAGTGGTCAGCTGGAATGGGATGAGAGAGGGACGGGGGGGAGGGAGAGAGGGAGAGAGGGAGGGACGTGTGTGTCTGTGTGTGTGTGCAGGTCTGACGACGTGTTGGTTCAGCTGATTGTGATGAACATCTACCGCTCCCTCAAGGTACACACACACAGACACACACACAGAGAGAGATAACACCCACATGCATCCACTATGGCATTCATCCGATGTCCCTGTGTGTGCACCTACCTGACCTGCAGGAGTCCGCCGAGACGTTTGACTACCTGTTGACGCACCCGTCCTTCTCCTTCTTCGAGAAGTGGGGCGCCCACCTCTCCGGCACTCTTGTCATGTGGCTCGTCTCAAAGTCGCGAAAGAAGAAATACAAGGCACGTCACACACACACTCTCACATACCGCAACACACACACCAACACACCCATGACACGCTGCCTTTCTGCAGGTGGACAATGAGCGTGAGGCCCTCTACGGTGCGTTGAACGAGTTTGTTGAGGCCGTCGGCAGGCGCACCTTCCTGGGCGGCGAGACGCCCAACGAAGCTGACTTCAACATTTTCGGGTAGGTGCGCTGGCTGGGGGGGTGCAAAAGAGACGCTGCATGTGGGTGTGGTGTATCGTTTGCCTGTCGACCCACAGCATTCTGAAGAGCATTGAGGGGTTCAGATGCGAGCAGGACGTCTTCCAGAACTCAAAGATCGGACCATGGTCAGCGACCAACACACCAACCAACACACCAGCCATCAACCAACGTGTCTGCGTATTTGCTGTGTGTGTTGCAGGTACCAGTCGATGCAGCGAGTGGTGGGCGGCACGCGGGCACGCAACATCATCGCGCGCGGCACCAAGGAGAAGCAGCAGGCCGCTCAGACAGCCACCGCCGCTGCTGCATGAGTGTGTGTGGACGGGAGGGGGTGTGCATACAGAGGAAAGGGGCGGGAGGGAGGGAGAGCAGCAGTTCCCTGCCGACGTCTGCCTGTCTGTGTGTGTGTGTTTGCTCGCACTGAGGCTGGGGCACCAGGCAGGAGAGCGCGAGCTTCTGCCCGACGACCTGGCCCTGTGGCCCGACGTGTGCACAGAGCCATTAGACACGGCATCCATCCATATACACATGTGAACATGTACACGTACACGTGTGTGTGTATGACGGAGTGGTTGCGGGTTTTTTGTCGTTGAGAGAGGAGGGAGGGAGGGAGGGAGGGAGGATGCTGTGTGGTGTATGTATGTACCCGCCGCACGACCCAGTTGTGCGCGCGGCCTGCGCGGGCGCCTACCTGCCTGATCCATGCATTGCATTCCTGCGTGCGTGTGAGAATGCCCAGTTCACTTGCCTCCACCTTGGGAACGGGCTTTCCCTGTACCCACTGTGGAGAGGCCGAGCGTGAGGCGGAGACGGCGCTAACTGGCTGCTCACACACACACAGGGCAAGAATGACACTTGTGTATCATTCCATCTCATCTTGAGAGTTTTGATGGGTTGGCATGCGGACTGACTGACTGACTGATGGATGCGATGTAATCATTGCAGTGAATGGATCCACCCATGTATGTGTGTTTTCTCACCGCACGGAACGGAAGCTATACATATTCCCATCCATCCACCCACTGACACCCACATGAACGGTGGGTCCATGTCTCACCCCCACTCGCCATACAAAGACCCCCACCCCAGCCACACCAACTCATGTCTCCCTCCCTCCCACTCTACGCCTTCTTTCTGGTCATATGGTCGTAGATGACCACCTGCAGATACTCATGCGTCTTCAGCTCATGCCTTCTCGAGTTGTCGCCCGGCTCCGCATTGGGGTCGACATTGATGACCTTCCTGTCCCTCTTGTTCTTGAACAGCAGCCCCAGATCGTGGTCAGGGATGATCTGGAAGTTTGGCGAGTCGTTGGCCGTGCTGTGGTGCGTGTCCCAGTTGAAGAAAGACAGATCGGTGGGCCGTGGCAGCAGCCGCCTCTTCCTGTCGAAGTACGGCTCGAAGTTCTCGGTTTTGAGACGGAAGCCGTAGTCAACGTAGCCGCTGATCTCCTGCCCCTTCTGGTTGCGGTCGCGGATGAAAATAATGGTCGACAGCCGACCGTTGCGGACCAGCTCCTCCCTCGCGGCCAAGTGGCGGAGAAAGGGGTACTGCGAGAGGTCCCGCCCCGCACTCGCGAGCACCTTCGGGGCGTTCTGGAGCTTGGCCCGCTTGGACTGCTCGGCCGCCTCCCTCCTGGCGGCGAACTCCTCCCTGCTGAGCACTTCCCCCTTGCGGCATCCGATCTCCACCAGCTGGCGGGCCAACTCATCGTCCTCGAGATAGAACCGGTCTGTGTCGGTGATTTGAGCGTCCAGATAGTCCTCGTAGGTCGCAAACCGCTCTATAGACTCCTCGAAGGAGCGTCCGAAGTCGCCGCTCTCCATTTCCCCTGCCTGGACGATTGCGAGCTCGAAGTGGGGGCCACTTTCATCTGTCAGGCTTCAAGTTCCCCTTCGCTGTCAGCGCACACACGCAATAACCAACCAACCAACCAACACAAGGAACAGGTGATGGCACAAAGGGTCTCGCTTTGCCTGAGATCTGGTCCCCCTGACGTGTGTGTGCTGTACTGTCTGCCAGTGTTCGAAACATTCAGATGGAGGAGCCCTCCTACGAGAGTCAACTAGATGATCTTCTGCGCAGCCAAGGCTTCGAGCTTGCGGCTATCGTCCTACGGAAGGGCAACAATCATGTGGCGAGTCTAGAGCTCGCCTGTGGGATTGTGTGCCGTAGAATTTCGTCGCACTACAAGCGGTACATTGCCAGAAAACTGACCCAGGGGGGTGGGAAACTGTGTTCTCTGCGGAAAACCGGGGCCCCATGCGGAAAACTGAGCCGGGGGCCCGGAAAACTGGTGATCTGCAGTGGAAAACTGACCACCTGCGTGGAAAACTGGTGATCTGCAGTAAAAAACTGGCACTCCCACGTGGAAAACTGGTTTTCTGCCGCCTGTACCCAGTTTTCCATTGCCTGATACCAGTTTTCCACTGTCTCTACCCACCAGTTTTCCAATGAATGTGCCAGTTTTCCAATGAATGTGCCAGTTTTCCAATGAATGTGCCAGTTTTCCGATGATTCCGATGAATCTGCCAGTTTTCCGAGGTGCGGTCGCTCTCTGCCCTCTGTTGGAGGTGCACGGAAAGGGCGAGGATGATGATGACAGGTACTGATGATCGATGACTGAGTGAGTGGATGGGTGCATCGAGCGGACACCGTCTTTTATTGACGGCCGGCCGGCCATCCTTGCCCTGTGTCTCTCTCCCTCCTGCTGCACGCCCGCGCTCTCTCCAACTCTCTCACTGACTTCAGAAAGCATTGACTGGTGCGTGCTGCGTTAGATCTCGAGTGTATCTACTGGAAAACTGGCACATTCATTGGAAAACTGGCATATCTATTGGAAAACTGGCACATTTATTGGAAAACTGACATCAGGCAATGGAAAACTGGGTAGAGAGACTGGAAAACTGGGTAGAGACAGTGGAAAACTGGCATCAGGCAATGGAAAACTGGGTACAGGCGGCAGAAGACCAGTTTTCCACGCAGGTGGTCAGTTTTCCACTGCAGATCACCAGTTTTCCGGGCCCCCGGCTCAGTTTTCCGCATGGGGCCCCGGTTTTCCGCAGAGAACACAGTTTCCCACCCCCCTGGGTCAGTTTTCTGGCAATGTACCGCTTGTAGTGCGGCTGATGAGGTGAAGCGTCTTGTGGAAGCGGGAGCTGACGTCACGATGGCCGTTCCTTTACGCGACATTGTCAACGAAGACTCTCCCGTGATTCCTCTCGGACTGCTGTACTTAGCGATCGACTGCTCTTGGAGTCCGTGGAATTTTGGCGATGGAAGAGAGCTCGCTTTGCCGAAGTGGCCATGCCGCAAGCTGCACGCCGCCGTTCTTGGGGCTCTCGTGTCCGCGGAAGTGGGCACCGACCGCCGCTGTACTGTATTCGACACACCGCCTATTCTTACGGCCGTCCGATGTGCCGACTCGATCTCTGTCGAAGTGCTTCTGAAGAATGGAGCGGCGACGCATGGACTGTGCCTCGCCTTCCCCGTTCTGTCGGTCCCAGCAACTCAACCGAGCCGTCAGTATGAGACCGACCAGCTGGAGGTATATCACCAGCTGCTGGAGCATGACCCATCTCTCGCCGTTGAGGAGGACAGCAAAGGCAATACTCCAATACATGTGGCCGCTGCACTCTCTACCCGGCTGTCATCAGACTTCGTCTGCAGCTATTTGGATCTGCTAATGAAGCATGGGGCGTCTCCCAGTGCGAGGAGCTCTGGAGGGAAGACGCCGCTCGACTTGGCCATGGTAAAGGGTCAGCTTCATGTAGCCGAGTGGCTCTGCAAGAATGTCGGTGCGGCAGAAATCAACAAGAAGCCAAATCTGCTAGGCCTTCGGCCGCTGATGGAAGCTGGCTTGCGCCTCAGTCACCGGCTCAGAGACAAAGCCCCACCAGAACAGATCGACACTTGCAAGCAGGTGATCAGGACACTACTCGAGCACGGGGCCGACACTCAGCTGATGCACAAGACCACGCCCGGCGAGCGTTATGCATGCAAACTCGTGCAAGATATTCAGCAGGACATGCAGGGAAGTACCGGGACAACGCCCCAGCAGCAGGAAGATGATGCCGTGGCTGCTCGAATAGCTGAGGAGCTGATAGCCGATGAGAAGCGAGAGAAGGCAAAGAAGAAAGGCAAAATGGGCGGCAAGAAGGGAACGCGACAGCAGTGGCCGTTGCCATCGACAGAGGCTGACAGCAGGTAAGCAGTGTTGTCTTGTCTTTCTCTCTCTATGCGTGTGTGTGCGTGTTCAGTGTGGCGTCCGGTGCCATCGATAGAGACACGAATGACCAGCCGTCGTCCTCATTGTCATCTGCCGACCTCCACCCGTAAACACAGATTTGGACGGCGGCCCCTCGCATGCGTGTCTCCCCACTTGCATGTCTTTGTGTCTTCAGCGGCCCCTCGGCACCGCCGACTGATGCTGCAGGTGTCGTGTCTCCGCCGCCCGTTGACGGGGAGAGTGATGGCGACGAAAGTTTCGTGCCAGTGGTCAGCCGAAGAAAGAGAGACCGCCAACATAAACAACAGATGGAGGCCCTCCCAGAATCAGAAAAGCGAATGCCGTAAGTCGGAGTGGATCGCAACGAATCCGATTCATCTCACTGTGTTATCTCCTGTTTCATCATCAGTCTCCCGTCTTTGCCGCCACGGCCGGCCTATCCTCCCCCTCCGCGCCCCCCACGAGTACGCGAAGACCGCGTACGTGGCCAAACTGACAGGTACCAGCTTCAGAGCGAAGAGGGATAGGCCAAGTCGGTCTCTGTCGCGTGTATGGTCGCAGAAGTAGTGGTGATTGCCAGCCTCTGCCGCCCCCTCCCCCGTTTCCCCTCGCCCCCCAGCCGAACGACGCCGCAAGTGCTCTCACGGCGCCAGGATCTCGGCACGGAGAGAGACAGGTCCAGAGACCCGATGCCAGTGCTCGTGCCGTCCGGTAAGGGGCGGAGAACTGTGTGCCTTGACCATCGGCATGTGAAGATGCCTTGTCTCGTTCCATCATTCATAGGTCTGTCTCTGCCAGTGAGGCTGAAGGTATGATGGATCAGCTGCGCCAGCGACTGGAGGAGGCGAAGGAAGAGACAAGGAGGAAGGAAGAGCGAGAGGACGAGCTGAAAAGACAGCTTGAAGAGGCCCAGAAAAAGTAAAACCATTGCAGGCAGGCAGGTGAGGCAGGCCGGTTCCATGTCTCTGTCGGCCTTCTGCTGATGTCTCAGGCTGGCTGAGCTGACCATGCAGCAAGCGGCTTCATCATCAAGCGCTGCCACCCAGCCGTCCACTGCCCAGCAACGCGAGTGTGTGACGTGTCTCAGCGCTCCCCCAGTCGTCATGTTCGTTCCGTGTCGTCACCTCTGCCTCTGCCAGCCGTGCTATACCAAGTGGCAGGCCCACTTCGCCCAGCAGCTGCAGCAAGCGAAGGACCGCCAGGCGGCTGGATCGAGAGAGGAGCTGCCGAAGTTTCGGTGTGCGTATTGTGGCCACGAAGGGACGCATGCTGACACGCTGCCCAACTTGCGCCGGTGGATCAACGAGCCCTTCCTGCCTGAGACAGACGGCGGTTGAGCAGGATAGAGTGAGTGCTTTGGTGGAATGGTTACGGCATAAGGCTTGATGTGACGGTTGATTGGGAAGTGATGTGATTGTTGGAGTTGGCTGGTGTGGTGGAAGATAGGCCATGAAGTAGCCCTCTCATCGAGGGTTGGTCACACTCACACGCACACACACAGCGTACGGCAGAGGATGATGGATGGATGGATGAATGGACGGTCGTGCTGATCGGAATGTTGAACGCGAGGGGGGTGGCAAGGGGTGGGTGGGGTGGGTGGATTTGACTGCGCAACGGACGATCAACGAATGACTTGCCCACGCATTGAAAGATGATCGAAATTGCACGGCACACACAGGCAGTCCACCATGCGCACACAATGCGGCAAATACATAATCCATCTGCCACGGCATCCACCGATAGCCCACGTGGCCCCTCCATCCCATCCAGTCATTGGGATCTCTGTGGGGCGATCAGCCCTCCACCGCCCACCGGCCTCTACGATTCTACGTGCTCTCCTCTACTGCGGCATGATCTGGGCGAATCGGTGCGTGGTCAGGAGGGGGCGGGTCGAAGCACAAGCACACACACAGTGTCAGACTGATTGCTATCCGTGACCTCGATGCACTGAAAGCCGTGTTCTTTCAACAAGGTGCGGGCCAATGACATCGCGATGGGGAATCGGTCAGAGAGCCGCGTGTGGCCCTCGAGCTCCGCCTCGGTCGTGTAGAGAGTGATGCGGTCGCTGTCCACCCACAGGTAGGCCACGACGGCGTCGCCTTCCTTCATGCCCTTGAGGATGATAAATCGCTCCCGCTCGTCATTCGGCTCCCAGATGCAGTCGACGGTCTTGTGGTCGTCGATGGGACCGGTCAGCAGCGACCGATACCGCTCAAAGCCATCGCCTTCCCTCGCCTCGAATACCTCCTTCTCTCCCACCCCCCCTTGGTTATACCACTCCAGCAACGCCATCCGTCGGATGAAGGCCGTGAACGAGGGGAAGAGCACGTCCCGGCAGCCGATGGGCGGGTTGTGGGGGTCGTATGTGCGGCGGTAGGGGTGGCGGGCAGGGAGGCCGGACTTGGGCACCGTCTCAAACCGCCACTCTCGCTGGCCGCTTCCGATGGTATACCGCTGCCGCGTCACCCCACCGTCCCCCTCCCCCTCCTCTCCGTCCACCCTCTCGGACTCCTTCTTGCCCTCACCGCCATCGTCGGCCTCATCCACCTTTGTGAGCGCCAGACTGGTCCCTTTGTAGTTGAGGAGGTGGCCGAATGTGCTGTACTGGCGAAGGGCGAGGGGCATGGTGTGGAAGTCGGCCTTGGTGGCCAGGTGGGCCGCCATCCACTGGGCCGACATGACCAGCGGCAGGCCAGTCGAGGGCGTCAGCTTGTAGATGTCAGCCAGCCGGATGAAGCCGGGCCACTCACACCGCCCCGCCATGCTCCAGTGCATAGCAGCACTGGGACAGATAACCGAAGTGCGACACATGAGGGCCACCAGCAGCAGCTGCAGGGGCCGGTGCGTCACTGCTGCTGCTGCTGGTGGTCGGAGGGGCAGGGGTGGGCGCCGCGGCATTGGCTGTGTCTGCTGCCGTCCGGTGCACGTCGATGAGGCCGGTCAGCGAGTGGCGGCTGAGGTGTTTGGCGATGCGGCGCTGCACGAAGGCCTCATTGACGAGTTGGCTGCCGTGTGCCCTGCTGATGGGGCGGGCCGAGCAGACGGCCTCATTGATGGCCAGGCACGGGTAGATGACGTCGCGGCAGACATCAGGTGGCAGGCCGTCGGCCGAGTCGGCGGGCGGGGACGGCTTGGCCCAGCCGATGGGCCGAATGGTGCCCTTGACGCCATCCTCGACGTCATGCAGCGCATCTTTAGCCGACGAGAGAGCGGCGAAGACGCTGAGCCACTTATCGCCGAGAAATGGCGTCTGCACCAAACACACAGACAACCAGAGAGAGAGTGATGGCTGCAGTACTCTCGTGTGTGTGTGGATGACCTGTGCGGCGACTGTGGTGCTGAAGAGCTGCTGCACACCGGCAGCCTCTCGTGTGACCTGCAGGCATCACACACAGTGGATGAGAGCACAGCAGCAGTGAGGCCATTTGGCCTCTCATGCGCCACGTGCCTGATCTATGTGTGTGTGCAGCGATGCGATGCGCTCCTCCAGACGAACCAAAGCCTCGCTGATGGGCTGCAACACACACACACAATCACCACGATGAATGGACGTGTGTGCGCTCTTTCGAGTGAATGCGTTCGCTTGTCGTGCTGTGTTTGCTCTCTGGCCTGCTTGAGTTCGCTTCTCGATTGATGCTTACCGGTGTGTTCTCATTTGCAGCGGCCGAGTCGCCGCCTTGCGGGGACGCTTCGGCTCTCCTTCGACACTCATGCTGGAGAACCCGAGCTACTCTCACGTGAACATCACGCGGAATGAGTGGGAGATCAAAGCAATCGTCGAGATCTTTTCCTCACAAAAAAAAGACTCTCTGCGAATTGTGTTTCGGAATTTTGACTGCTCCGAGTTTCTGTTGCTAAGCCCCAGATCAATCAACGTACCGCGCCCCGCCCCTCATTCCCCTGAGTTGATTTCATCATGAGTGGCCCGGCCCCATCGGGCTCATCCCCTCTGGCAGCGGCCTTTCAGGCCGCCAGCGAACCGGTCAGTGTGCGGGACGCACTGGCCATGGGCGGACAGCAGCAACAAGGTGAGCCAAATGGAGAGGGGGAGGCGGGAAGGAGCGGAATAGACACATGCACGAGAGTCAGAAGGGGAGACCCTTCTTGGGGCTGAGGGGCTCTGTGTTATGTCTATCGTCTCGTCAGGTGGTGAGGGGGAGATGACACAGTCCCAGCTCATACGCCTCGGACGGACCACTCCCGCCGGCTCCATCCAGACCGGCACACAAAGGGTCAGTCAGCAGTCAGTCAGTCAGTCAGGAGGGAGGGAGGGAGGGAAGGAGACACGGAGTGGGGCAGCAGAGAGAGCCCAGAGGGGCATCCCATGTGCGCGTGTGTCCATCCTGTGTCTTGTTGTGTGTTGTCTGTCTGTCGTCAGATTGAGGTGGAGGTGCCCGTGTACACCGACGTGCACTACGAGGACGTCGTCGCCGAGCGTACGGTGCCGCTGCACGTGCAGAAGATCGTCCCCGAGCCCGAGGTCCATGAGCTGGTCCGCCAGGTGCCCGAGCTGAGCCACTCGTGGATCGAGCGCCAAGTGGAGGTGCCCGTCGTCCAGCACGTCGAACGGATCGTCGAGGTACGTCTGACTCCCACCCTACACATATGACACACACGAAGGGACACACGAGTGGGTGGTGTGCCTTTGGTGTTGCGTGCAGGTGCCCCAGGTGCAGGTGGTCAACAAGTATGTGCCCAAGGTCGAAGTCAAAACCATCGTAAGCTGCCAGCTCCATGGAGGGGACACACAGACAGCCACAAGGGAGACACGGCGTGTGTGTGTTGTGTGCAGGAGCGTGTGGTGCCCACGACGGTGGTCAAGACGGTCGATCGTGTGGAGGAGGTGCCCGTCGTCCAATACAAAGACAAAATCGTTGAGGTAATACCCACGCCACACCGACCGTCACATAGCGCTGCGGTCGATGCCATGACATTCCCCTCTCCGTCTCTCTATGTGTGTGTCTTGGTGCAGGTGCCCCATGTGGTGGAGGTCATCAAGGAAGTCCCCAAACCAGTGCCCGTCGAAGTAACCCACACACGCACAAACACAGACAGACAGACAGACAGACAGGCTGACCATACATCGCTGCCTGCCTGTCTCTCTGCCTGTGTGCATGCGCAGGTTCAGGTGCCGGTGATCAAGTATGTGCCCAAGGTGGAGGTCAAGACCATCGAGCGCATTGAGCACGTGCCGGTGCCCCAGTACGTGGACGTGCCGGTGACCGTCATCAAAGAAGTCCCCAAAATCATCACTGAAGAACGAGTACACACACACATGAATGACCACACACACCACACACAGACGACAAAGGTGTGTCTGTGCAGGTGGTGGATGTGGAGGTGCCGGGTCCCGTCATC